CCCCGCCCCCTCCCGCCGCGCGGCGCCTGGCGCGCTGCCGTCACAGGCCGGGCGCTGGGGACCAAGCCCCAGCACTCGACTTTCACGCCGGGGATTGGGCCCCGGCGGGCAGGGGGCGGACCCTCCCTGAGGATAAGCTCCATCCATTGGTCGATGAGAGTGGAGGGGGCGGGCACTAGAATGACTGAAGTTTAAAGAGGGTAGAAAAGAGAAGTTTGCCGAGTGAGGGTGGCCGGAGGGGCGGGGCAGAAGAGTGAAGTGGACTCGAGGTCGCAGGACCGGGCGAGGCCCTCCGCACAGTGGCTAGAACCCAAGGAAAGCTGTGATCTGAACTCCCGGAGGTAGAGGCGTGGCTGGGTGTGAGGGCGGAGTCTCGGATCCCGTGCAGGGCGCTGAAGGGAGCGGGGTGTTCTAAGGCAGGGAGAAGACTTTGCAGAGTCCGTGCCCGGAGGTGGCGGCACCTGCAAGGTAGTTCCTTTCGTGGTTTTTGCTCATCCAACATTCGTTCATCGTGATCTCTGTGCCACTGAGGCCTGGACTCCGGAGTCTGGTGGATAGAAGGCAAAATAAGAGTCCTGCACCTAACTGCTGTGTGACCTCGGGCAAGTTAGGCGACCTCTCTGAGCCGCAGCACTCTCGAATAAAAAATAGACAGTTGTACTTACTTGCCCCTTCACGATTCTGTGAGGATTAAATAAGAAACGTAAAAAGTCTGAACAATGGCTGTCAGAGGTTAGAAGCTTCTTAACATTTGGCAGCTGATAAGAGGATGATGATAGCTTGAGTTTTGTCAGATAAAAGTCGTGCTAGATGGGAAGGTACAAGACTACTCAAAGCAGGGGACCTCCTCTCAAGAGATAACAATCTAGTGGGAAAGACTGATGAGTAAGCTGACTGCCTGCCATGAGGTGGGTGAGGGGCGGATTCCGGGCTGTCGAGGTAGTCAGGATACCTGACATGCTACATGTACGCTGTTTGACCTTGGCCATACCCGACCTTCGAGTTTACACATATGTAAAGGAAATGGAGGAAGAACTGACATTGAATAACATATCTTCCTTCTCTTCCCGGAGCCATGATGGGTATACATTGGGCTGCTAACTGCAAAGCCACCATTTCGAAACCACCAGCCTCTCAGCAAGGGAAAGACTGGGCTTTCTACTCCCTTAAAGAATTACAGTCTCAGAAACACCACAGGGGCATTTCTAGCTTGTCCTTATAGGGTCTTCTATGAATCAAAATCGACTTGTTGGCAATGAGTTTGAATTTTGAGCCCGAGGTCTCTGTCATCACTAGTTTTCCCCAAACTCCCATTGAGCTTTTTCCTCCTTGGCTTGGGGGCTATCTCTGGAATGCCCTCTCTCTTTAAAATCCTATTCATCTTCAATGCAAATGCTATCTTTTATACAGCCTTCTCTGATTTCTGCGCTTCAGGTGAAGCGAGTTTTCTCTGAGCTATGTTTCTGAGCCAAGTGTGGTCCTTATTAACATAGATGCCTATCTCCATTTAACAGTAGGGGAAGTCCCATATTTAAACTCTGAATAACTGGATAGACTCACCAAATCTCAGCAAGGCTGGGCCAAGCTTCAGCAGCTGCAAGTGATTTCATTCACACTGTTGTGTCAGTCAGGGTCCCCACAGGAAACAAATGGCACTTGATGAAGATGTGGGTAGAGTGTGGGAAACCGCAAGGGAACTGTGAAGCCTTGAGGCTAGCAGCGCCTAGACCCGCAGAGGCAAGAGGAAGAAAGAGCAGTCACCCAGACTTGGATAGGGAGAGGGCTGCTTGGCAGGAGTCTGACTTTCAGTCACGGGATGCAGTTAGCCTAATCACCTGCGGAGGAAGCTGGGCGACTTCTACCTCCCTCCCCTCCCGCCACTGACTAACAGTGGTCAAATCTCAGGAGAAGCCTGGGGGCGAGGGAGCCCTTTCTGTGGTCAGTTTCAATCAGAGCCCCAAAGGGCTGCATCTGGAGGCAAAGAAGACCTCAAGGCATATCGTTCAGGTTTACCCTGCTCTGAGACCGAGTTGGAGTTTGGGGTTTGGGGCTTGTGTGTTTGTGGTTTGTTTTATTTCTGAATTACTGCGTACCCTAGCAGAATCCTAGATGAAGTCTTGACTTTTAGCAACCATAGCCTTCAAGTCAATCCAACTCGCAGTGACCCTACAAACTCCACTGGCTGCCATGAAGTCATTCCTACTTCTACTCCCCGTACGGGACACAGCGGAATCGCCCCTCCCAGTTTCCCAGGCTGTGAAGCTGTATGAAGCAGACTGCCATATTGTTCTCCTGTGGAGTAGTAGCTCATAAGTTCTAACCAGGGATCTTTTGTTAGCAGTGGAGCTCTTAACCTCTGGGCCCCAAGAGTCCTCAAAAGCTGGACCACCTCTGAATAAGCTATTTTCTCTGCAACTCTGGGAAGATATCTTTTCCTGCCTAGGTTGTATACATTAGAATGCTATCAGCTACAAGAAACAGTCTACCTAACTAACAGTAGCTTTTAGCACGAAGAGCCATTTACATCTTTGATTTGAAGTTCAGATCCTGGGGGCTTATCACCTCTTAGTTGCAACCTGGCTGCCCCAGCTCCAGGCCCTTTTCTCACTGGTCGTTATCCAAAGCAGGAAGAGACAGAAAGGGAGACTGCTCTCATTTTCACAAAGGAGAGAAATCTTTCTCAGACCAGAATCCTCAGTAGAATCCTCATTATTGGCCAGGAAATGGCCACAGGAACACTGCAGATCAGCCACTGGCAAAGGAGATGAGATTGCCGCAGTTCATTAAACTTAATCATGAGTGTCTTTTTCTCTCTCTCTCTCTCTCTCTCTCTCTCTCTCTCTCTCTCTCTCTCACACACACACACACACACACACCACCCCCACCCCCTACCCAAATAGGAAAAGAGGGGAATTGGTGAGTAAGCACTCAACAGTGTTCTACATGCCTCCACCAAGAATTATTTGTTATATAGACCTGAAGACAGAAAGTCAAAGTGATTAGAAGCTTGGGTTTTGGAGTCAAACCACAAACCTCAGCCTTTCTACTTACTTGCTTTGTAACCTTTAGCAAGTGAGTGATTTAACTTCACGCAACAAAGTGGATGGTTTGAACCCATCTGATGAGGTTATCTGCTCCCCATAAAGACTGACAGTCTCAGAAACCTATGAAACAGTTCTACTATATCCTAAGGGGTACTGTAAACCGGAATCAACTCTATGACAATGTCTTTGGTTTGGTTATAAAACTTGTTTCTTCATTAAAATAAAACAAAAAACATGTATGTAACAGAGCTTACTAAGCTGGATTGTTGTGAGAATCGAATGACATTATTGGGTTCACCAATCTCAGTAAGTTTAGATGCAGTTGTTTTGTTTTTAATCTGGAAATAAGCTACCTAGCTCAGTGAGTTTATTCTGGTAAGCACTGCCATCAAATCATGTCGACTCATAGCAACCCTATATAGGGTTTCTGAGATTGTAAGTCTTTATGAGAGCATAAACTATTCTGGAAATTACTACTTAGTTAAATGGGTTACATTATAAAATTGAAAGGAGGGAAGAAGGTATTCCTTTTTTTTTTTTTCATTTTCTTATTTTCAAGCAAGAAAATCTTTTTACAAAAAAACCCCATCAAGACTTCTCCTCCATGTCATTGACCAGGAATGCCCAAATGTCCTTTCCAAACCCAGTTTTTGCCAAGAGTGATGAAATGCCATGAATGATCATCCGTATTTCTCTCCTGGGGGTTGGAAAGGGCCTAGCCTCTTCTAAAACACATGGCTGTACAATAATAAGCAAAACTGGAAGTCTCTTAGCAAATGCAAAGACAGGAAGGTGGCTTTGAGATAAGCAATCTACCATGTCGGCCACAATTCACTGTACTGATTTTCTTCTAATCGCGCACGCGCGTGTGTACATGTGTGTAATGGGAAGTTTGTTTTGTTTCTAGAGCATTTATTGTGCCAAGTGTTCCTAATGAGAGTTAAGTCAGCAGCAATAGTGAGGATGGCACAGGACCAGACAGTGTTTTGTTCTGTTTTACATAGAGTCCCCCTGAGCTGGAACAACAACAACAACAACACCCTTTTCTAGGAAAACTAGCTCATAATGGAAAATATAAACTTCTAATTTTTCTGAAGTGACCCATACACAGTTACGTGTTTGAAGAATCAGGGATGCCAGGTATGGGGGTTCAGTTTATGCACTCAACCCCTTCAGGGATGCCGCTCACATCTATCTATGTGAGTGGGAGGGCTAGCATTGTGCAGCACAGTACCCGCATCGTGGCATAAAATGTGTCTGTACAAGCCAAGTGTAGCGAAGGGGTTGTTAGATTTTCTTTATTTTTATATTCTTGCTACATTTT